TGGATGATGGATGGATGGGTGAGAGAGATTGCTAGCTAACTAGCTAGAGAGAGAGAGGCAAACAGACAGACAAGATAGATAGATAGATAGATGATAGATAGATAGATAGATAGATAGATAGATAGATAGATAGATAGATAGATAGATAGGCAGAGGCAGGCAGGCAGACAGACAGGCAGTTAGGCAGATAGGCAGATAGATGATTCTTGGATGATAGGTGATAGAGAGTGGTGGACTATCTGTATTGAGATAACCTTCTTGGCTACGAAGGTTCCCAGACTGTATTCAGAGTGAAGGGTGATAATTGGCACAATTTCTAAGCAGTAGATCAGCCCAGTCTTAATATCCAAGTTTCAGCCAGAGTTTGAGTTTCAAAAGAAAAGCTTGTGTCCTGCTTCTTTTGAACATCCTGGCTTTTTTGGGGCGGCGGGGGTGTAAAACCGGCTGTCAGAGCGATGAACGAGTCCAGCCTTCCTGAAAACTGCCTTTTTATTTTGAGTTCTGAATAGGAAGATCATCCTTGGAAACGTTACTTCAGATTTTGCTCCTGAAACTCTGGGAGAGGCTGTGTTTTGCCCACTCGGAGGCTTTAGTGAAAGAGCGACTGATGTGTTTCTTTCATTCCACTCCAAGTTGAACATGCTTCACGGGGCTGTTTCGGGGGTCCCGATAAGCTGCTAGAATTTATGAGAATTCTGGCTTATTGTGAACAGAATAAATGGGCTGGTGTGAGGCTGCCGAATTGTTTGGTGCTTCGTGCCAAGGGGAACACTTGAATTGTAAACGTTTCTTTTATGCTTCCTTTTATATTGTGGTTCCCGAGCTTGAATCCTCTCAAACCAGAACAAATCATGGTTTCTGGTCATTGGGGAACAGCCTGGGACTTAACTGTGTGCTTTCCAAAAAAAAAACCAAACCATGGAAACAGCTTGAGGGGTTGGTTAGCTCTCCTTGCAGGCAGTCGAAGTCAAAGAAGAAATCCATACAGGTGGTTCTTGACTGAATTCTAATTCTGCCTTAAATATAAAAGCTGGCTGAGGGACCTCGGATCAGTTACTGTCGGTCCTACATGCCTTACAGGTTGCTTTTGTGAGGAAAATAAAGGGGAGAAAAAAATATTATGTATATTTACCACCTTCAATTATTTATACATACGTACATATATGCAGAGTGGACGTGGTGGCTCAGTGGCTAAGATGCTGAGCTTGTCGATCGAAAGGTCGGCAGTTCAGCGGTTCGAATCCCTAGTGACGCGTAACGGGATGAGCTCCTGTTACTTGTCCCAGCTTCTGCCAACCTAGCAGTTCGAAAGCATGTAAAAAAGGCAAGTAGAAAAATAAGGACCACCTTTGGTGGGAAGGTAATAGCATTCCATGCACCTTTGGCGTTTAGTCATGCCGGCCACATGACCACGGAGACGTCTTTGGATAGCGCTGGCTCTTCGGCTTTGAAACGGAGATGATCCCCTATTTATTTATTTATTGATTTATTGATTGATTGATTTATTGATTGATTGGTTCGATTTATATGCCGCCCTTTTCCGGAGACTCGGGGCGGCTTACAATGCGTTAAGCAATAGCCTTCATACTTTTGTATATACCTGCTTAGTAGGGCTTTCTCTCCCCCCCCCCCAAGCGGTGTTCTTTTTTATACAAAGTCAGCTTATTGCCCCTACAAACCGGGTCCTCATTTTACCTACCTTCGAAAGGATGGAAGGCTGAGTCAACCTTGAGCCTGGTGAGATTTGAACTTGCAATAATTGCAGGCAGCTGGTGTTATCTTAACAGCGCTTTAGTCTGCTGCACCACCAAGGCTCTTACAATACAAGAACAATTCCCTAGAGTTGGGAATGACTAGCACATATGTGCGAGGGGAACCTTTACCTTTACATATATACATACATACATACATACTGTAACAGCGGTTGGTTGCCCCCAGTTCGCACCGGTTCTATAGAACTGGTAGTAAAACTGGCGGGAGGCTCCACTCACCCACCCCGACGTCATCAAAACGCTTCTGCGCTTTCACACGGCCCCGCTACAAACCGGTAGTGAAGGTAAGTAGAACCCAGCCCTGATACATTCATACATACATTTATATCCGGAGAAGAACTAGAGGTAGTAGAGAATTAAGATGAACAAAGGTCTGGAGACCAAAGCATATGAAGAAAAGCTGCAGGATTTGGGTTTGGCTAGTCTAGAAAAAAGAAGAATTGGGTGGACATGATAGCAGTATTCCCTGGTCTTTATTCGAGCGATGGATTTTTCTCTGGTTGTTAAGTGAGTGGCTTTTTCCTATAATAGCAGACATGTTTTTAGAAGGGAAGCAAAACAAGACTTGATAATTGAAAGGTCGTGGTTTTTCATTAATTCCATTTACAGGTTTACAGGTTCCTGTAGTTTTTAGGGACTAAATCAGTGGTGGAAGGTGTGGAGCAAATTAAGGGCTGCATCTGGAACAACAATAATAAATTCCAGAGTTTATGTTTCAGCAATTGGGTTTGTTTGACCCTTTAATCTGCTTGATATCATATATCATGCATTTAGAAAACTAAGCCGAAAGCTGGTAGAGCTTAGCAGAAGTTCTGAAAAGACTTCTCGCTGCCTAAGATTTAGCTCTTGTTGGAATGACTAGCTGTGGATTTCCTATTGAACATAATTTCCATTTTGACAAAAAGAATGTGGAGTTTAGCTGAAAGAGCTTTCTCATGACAGATAGTCCTCGATAAACAACCATTTGTTTAGTGACGACCCGAAGTTACAGTTGCACTGAAAAAAGTGAGTTACAGCCAGTTCTCGCACACTTACAACTGTCACAATATCCTTTCAGACCGTGGGGATGCTTTTGTGATCGTAAGTGTGAAAAATGGTCATAATTCATTTTTTTCGGTGCTGTTGTAACTTTGAATGTCAGTAAACAAATGGTAGTAAGTTGAGGATTACCTCTGGAGACTAAACCATACGAAGAACGGGTTTTGGGTTTGGCTAGTCTAAAGCAGTGGTGAAATCTAAAATTTGTTACTATTGGTTCTGTGGGCGTGGCTTAGTTGGGGGGGTAATGTGACTGGGTGGGCGTGGCCTTTTTTTTTAACTTTTAAAACCATTTTTTCTACAACCTCTTCAGCGAAGAGGTTGTAAAAAAATGCTTTCAAAAGGCTCTGACGATCCCAGCTGAGTTGCCTGATCGGCAGAGGCTTTTTTTCTTTTAAAAGCCTCTGTCGATCAGGCAACTCAGCTGGGATCGTCAGAGGCTCTTAAAAGCATTTTTTCTACAACTTCTGAAGAGGTTGCACGTGCATGCTGTCCTAATACACTGTTCTTCCCCATGCGCTGCACACGCAACCACACCATCTGCGCATGCGCACGGCTTTAGCATGCCCCCTTGCGCTGCCTGCGCAACCACACTCATCCATGTATGCGTGTGACTTTTGCGCAGCTCCCCCGTGTGCTGCACATGCAATCGCACCAACTGTACATGCGCATGGTTTTTGCGATCGCAATACATGCACGCGAACACCATCTACGCATGCGAGCGTTGCTCGCAATTACTCTTACGTGCATGCGCGCGCATAGGTAGGAGAGCTCCGAAGACCAACTGGGTCCCCTGAATTGTGCAAATGTGCACCAGAGGCCCGAATACCAGCTGGGGTGCGGGTGCATGTGCAGCTGCAGGTGAGTTGGGTGACAGCTTGCGTGCCCGGAAAGTGTTGTGGCCCATCAGCGGCCTGTGCGGATTGTAGCTGATTCTGACAGCGAGGAGGCTGGTGTGGTGTTGCGCCAGCAGCCTGTGCAGCTGGCACTCGAGTCAGACAATGAGGAGGCTGGAGAAGATGTAGTGCCAGAGGCAGGGATTCAGCCAGGGCCTTCAGAACCTTCAGAAGCTCCTTTAAGTGAAGAGAAGGAGCCTCTTCTTGATGCACGGGCGCGCAGAGTGGCCAAAAGGCAGGAGTGGCTCCTCAGGAGGAGGTCTCCTTGAGAATAAGGCTTGGGGCTAATTGGCCGCTCCCTTAGCCTATTTAAGGAGGAACACCGACTGAAGCAATTTGTAGGGAACAACTTTAGTTCACTCAACTTCGCATCTGGATTCTCTACAAATTGCTTCTGGGCTTTCTGCCAACCTTAGTGAGATTGTGATTACTTTATCTTTGGTTTCTTGTAGGCTGTTAAGAAAGTTTATTAACAGCCTTTGTTTTGAAAAAGACTGAGTTATTTTAGTAAATTAAGTTTTGTACAAACTTTGTGCGTGCTGTGTTCTTTGGGGTCCGTAGTTGGGGCAGAACAGAAAGATGGCCCTGCATGCCACCTCGGACACGCGTGCCATAGGTTCGTCATTACATGTATAGGTTCTCCTGCTTGATCAGGGGGCTGGACTAGAAGACTTCCAAGGTCCCTTCCTGTTCTATTCTAATTCTCTATATGTATCGATGGTAAAAAGCACTTGGACTTGGACTTTGATCAGACAGTTGCAGATGCCACTTGTGTCAGATGTGTCAATCAGACTGGCATAATAGGGCCAAATCTGGACAAATGCTTCCATTTTCATTCTTAGTTTCTTTGTTTTTTTTAAGACATTTCATGGCATTTATAAGAGGAAAACAAGTTTGTGATTTAACCAGCAAGCCAAAATAAAGACACTGATGCGTTTTACTTCCTGAGCTTAAAGCCAGTTACACTTCTAAGATGTTTTATCCTTTACTGAGATGTTATTTTGAAAACATTGGGATGTTCTATCTTGGCTGCAATTATCCAAAAGGACAACTAGGTGGCAGTACCGAGATCTCAAATGCTTTTTCTCCTTGCTGCCACCTAATGGGGTGCTGGGATTTTGCAGGCCATTTCCAATGGCCCTAAACCACTATTATTTGTATTATTTGGGTTAGACCAATGTTGAGTCTGGCAAGTGATGGTGAATGGAGCTGTTAACTGTGAATTAAAAATGCATGCGTTTCTCTGGGGTTTCTGACCATGTGTTTTCTGTATTTTATTCTCTTTTGGCCATAGGGACAGTATTGTGACATCTGTTCGTCAGCCAACAGCAACAAAGCCCATCCCATCACGAATGCGATCGACGGGACCGAACGCTGGTGGCAGAGCCCGCCTCTGTCTCGAAGGCTGGAATTCAACGAGGTCAATGTCACCTTAGATTTGGGACAGGTAAGGCGATCACTTGCTTTCCAGTAAAATATATAAATGGGGTGCTTTCTTATAACAATGGGAGATGCTAAGGGAGAAAGAACTAATTTCTCATGAATGACTTAATTTTGCCATAAGGTACATTCAGGTTAAAAAAAGTAAAACCTATGGCAGCAAGCTTCTTGATCAAGTTACTTGTATTGTTTTAAGAAAGACAAATGGAGTATTTTTGTGATCACCGATGTTTGAAGATGACCCTAATGCATATTAAAAATTTGGTAGCTTCTGAAACTTCTGAAACTCAGTTTCAGAAAAAACTGTTTTTCTGCCTCTGAAAGCCTCCGAAACAGAGCTTTAGAAAAAAATCCTCTGAAGCTCTGTTTGGCGGCTTCTTTTCTGAAGCTCTGTTTGGCGGCTTCTTTTCTGAAGCTGTTTGGAGGCTTTTTTTCTGAAGCTTCGTTTCTGATGCTTTTTTCAGCCTCTGAAACCTCCGTTTGAGAAGCTAGGTGGGGCTACATTCGGAGTATAAGACACACCCAGATTTTCACCCTCTTTTTTGGGGGAAAAAGATGCGTCTTATACTCCGAAAAATACAGTAAATAAAAATATATTTTTGTAAATTTTTGTAAAAATGTATCTAGGACCAGTTTTTGGGCGGGAAGGAGGATCATGTTGCAAATAATGCTTCCTTTTGGATGTATGTGCAATGTCAACGGACAATGCTGCATTTGTCAAACTGATGTGCTTGGTTCCTTGCACTGGGCCAGTATATAAATCAAGCAGAATCATACAATGCATTATACTTTGAACTTCAGGTTGTAAGTAAGTAAGGAAGACTTTCATATTATTTATTTAAAGCAGTGTGGCTCAACCTTGGCAATTAGCCGCACTAATTTAAAGGACTTAATTTTGTTTTTCTACTCTAAAAGGATCCCTTTTGGTGGAGCTAATAAAAACTAGAATTAAAGAAATTGCCATTGAGATTGTATTGCTTGTCTAACCCTGTAAAAATAGTGTAATATGAAGCAGGGTAAACTTGTCGCTCTCTGTTTGTTGTATGCAAAGCTTTTCTCTTTTACCTTCCTGTTTGCCTATATCAGGGGTCTGCAACCTTAAACACTCAAAGAGCCATTTGGACCCGTTTCCCACAGAAAAGAAAACACCGGGAGCCACAAACCCCTTCCCGTGCCTGACTATTTCTTGAGCGGCCACAAAACTAGCATATGTAGTTGCATTAAACATCCTGTTTTCTTCTGAAACTTTTCTTTTCTTGGATTTATCCATGGTTGGCCTACTGGGGATTGAAAAGCTCAATAAATTGTGTGCCGGCAGGTGTTGCACATTGGCAGTTGTGATGCATATTTAGAGTGCCAGGGAGCCGCAGCAGAGGGGTGAAAGAGCCACATGCGGCTCCAGAGCCGCAGGTTGCTGACTCCTAGCTTAGGGGAAATGTTGGACCAGCGTCTGTGATCAGAATAGAGCAGGAAGGGACCTTGGAGTTCTTCTAGTCCTGCCCTTTGTATCTTCGTATCTTCCTTTATGTAACGTATCTTCCTTTATGTACACTGAGAGCATATGCACACAGACAAATTCCTTGTGTGTCCAATCACACTTGGCCAATAAAGAATTCTATTCTATTCTCTGCTCAAGCAGGAGAACCTATATCATTTCAGACAAGTCCAGTCTTTCTTAAAAAAAAACTCGGGTGTCACACATTGGTGGTTGTGATGCGTATTTTTAGTGACCGGGAGCTGCAGCAGAGGGGTGAAAGAGCCACATGTGGCTCCAGAGCTGCAGGTTGCTGACCCCTGGCCTATATGGTTAAATGATTCCTAAGAGAGCTGAGATCGTAGTGTATCTCCTAGATCAGGGGTCCCCAACCTCCCGGCCGCAGCCCATTCAAAGCTGGGCCATGGAAACAGCAGGAGGGCAAGTGCTCATGTGGTGGGCACTTGCACACAAAGCTCCACTCGCACAATGGAGCTGTGTGCATGCGCACCTGTCAGTCCCCTCTCACTCCCCCCTCCCAAAGAAGGATTAGGGACTGCTGTCCTGTGCACCAAATGGATCATGAGTAAATTACCCTTTAGGCTGGTGATACATCCTCAAGGAGCGGATGACATAAAGTTAATATTGACTCAGCTTTTGTTGACGAGATTGTGTGCACTGTGGTGTTTTCAAGGTATTTCCTTCAAGTATGATGAACAGTCTGAAAGTTGACACGTCCTTAAGCAGATAATGGCCAGTGAAGAAGTCACTCCAGAATGAATGGCTTGATACCTTGTAGTTGAGGCTTAGGGCAAAGCTTTGTGGCCAGAGTCCAGGCAGGCTTAGTGCAACCAGATTGTAGGATCTTAAATATGCAAAATTTCAGGTGGATTATTAACTTTGATTTCCTTTCCGCAAACTGATCGTTACGGCCTCAAATGTGGGATATCTTGACACACTGAGATGCTTCATAGGAGAGAAATTAATAAATAAAAGTGGTTTTATGCTTGAAATATAAGTAAAACCTAATTTACTTGACTTTGTCACAGGTTAGCAATAGTAATAGCACTTAGACTTATATACCACTTCACAGTATTGTTAAAGCCCTCTCAAAGCGGTTTACAGAGTCAGCATATTTCCCCCAACAATCTGGGTCCTCATTTTACCCACCTCGGAAGGATGGAAGGCTGAGTCAACCTTGAGCCTGGTGAGATTTGAACTGCCAAACTGCAGGCAGACGACAGCCAGCAGTACTGCACTCTAACCACTGCACCACCACGGCTCATGTTAAGGCATCAGACATTCATAAAAGAAGATTCAGTAGAGCAGGGGTTCCGAACCGCTTGTCTGCTGCTCGGTACTGGGCCCTGGCTCATTGGGAACCGGGCCATGCAAGCAATGGGCAACCATCTGAGTGCATGGAGTTCCATTTGCGCAAGCGGTGTGCACAGACGTGAAACCCCACGCTGCCGCAGAGCCACAAAGGTTGGGGACTGCTGCAACATTGAAAGTCCTCGGCTTAGGACCATAATTGAGGCCAGAATTACAGTTGTAAGGTGGTTGTTAGGTGGTTCACTATGTGACCGTGTGGTATTTTACAACATAGATAGATGATAGATAGATAGATAGATAGATAGATAGATAGATAGATAGATAGATAGGTGATACAGAGAGAGAGAGAGAGAGAGAGAGAGAGAGGAGAGAGAGAGAGAGAGAGAGATAAAGAGATAGAGAAAGAGAGAGGCAGACAGAATGGATGGATGGATGGATGGATGGATGGATGGATGGATGGATGGATGATAGGTAATAGAGACAGCTAGCTAGCTAGCTAGAGAGAGAGATAAAGAGATAGTGAGAGAGAGAGACAGACAGACTGGATAGATAGATAGATAGATAGATAGATAGATAGATAGATAGATAGATAGATAGATAGATAGATAGATGATACATAGAGAGAGATAGCTAAAGAGTGAGAGATAAAGAGAGAGAGAGGCAGGCAGACTGGATGGATGGATGGATGGATGGATAGATGATAGGTGATAGAGACAGATAGCTAGCTAGCTAGCTAGAGAGAAAGAGATAAAGAGATAGTGTGAGTGAGAGAGAGACAGACTGGATAGATAGATAGATAGATAGATAGATAGATAGATAGATAGATAGATAGATAGATAGATGATAGATAGAGAGATAGATAGATAGACAGATAGATAGATGATAAAGAGAGAGAGAGAGAGAGAGAGAGATAACGAGAGAGAGAGGCAGACAGACTGGATGGTTGGATGGATGGATGGATGATAGGTGATAGAGAAAGATAGCTAGCTGAGAGAGAGAGAGAGAGACAGGTTGGATAGATAGATAGATAGATAGATAGATAGATAGATAGATAGATAGATAGTAGATAGATGATAAAGAGAGAGATAGCTAGAGAGAGAGAGATAACGAGAGAGGGAGAGGCAGACAGACTGGATGGTTGGATGGATGGATGGATGATAGGTGATAGAGAAAGATAGCTAGCTAGTGTGAGAGAGAGATAGAGAGAGAGACAGGTTGGATAGATAGATAGATAGATAGATAGATAGATAGATAGATAGATAGATAGATAGATAGATGATAGATAGATAGATAGATAGATAGATAGATAGATAGATAGATAGATAGATGATAAAGAGAGAGAGATAGCGAGAGAGAGAGATAACGAGAGAGAGAGAGGCAGACAGACTGGATGGTTGGATGGATGGATGGATGATAGGTGATAGAGAAAGATAGCTAGCTAGTGAGAGAGAGAGAGAGAGACAGGTTGGATAGATAGATAGATAGATAGATAGATAGATAGATAGATAGATAGATGATAAAGAGATAGAGATAGGTAGAGAGAGAGAGATAACGAGAGAGAGAGAGGCAGACAGACTGGATGGTTGGATGGATGGATGATAGGTGATAGAGAAAGATAGCTAGCTAGTGTGTGTGAGAGAGAGAGAGAGAGAGAGAGGTTGGATAGATAGATAGATAGATAGATAGATAGATAGATAGATAGATAGATAGATAGATGGATGATAGGTGATAGAGAGATAGCTAGCTAGCTATAAGATAGCAAGAGAGAGGATGGATGGATGAATGGATGGAGAGAGAGAGAGAGAGAGAGAGAGAGAGAGAACGAGAGAGAACAAACTATAACAAACTTTTAGAGTGATTGCTCTATTGAATGAAAGTAAGTATCCATTCTCAGGCTAATGTTGCAGGATCTTGAGTCAGTCGCTGGGACCAAAGGTTTATTCTTCCAAACTTTAAGGCTCACGATTGCCCTGTCCTGGGAGGAATAGCATAGAAAACACTGTCTAGTTTGGGACCTGACCTTTGCTTATCCTCCGTCCTGCGAGCAGGAAGAAGAATAAATCTTCCCTGCAAAAGATGACTTGACGGTGCTTCCTTTCTCTCCAAGAGCTGAAATCATTTCCAGCTGTTTTTACAGCTTGGTGACCCCACAGCTCCAATCCCAAATTGACCATTCATGGATAACGAGAGGCCACATTTTC